GGCCCCACTCCTCCTCCAGCCCGCGCCCCCCCAGGGTCGGGGCGACTCGGGGGTGAACACCTGCGCTTCCAGCTGGGGCTCGCAGACCGAGCTTTCCTCCTCCCGCCACGGAGCCGCTTCCCGGGGAGGCACGGGTACAGCAAAACCGAAACGCGGGGCGGCAGGATGAAAAACAGCCAAGAAAAGGAGCGATGAGCCCACGCGAGATCCCCGCAACACGAGAGCGCCCAGACGGCTGCAAGGTGGCCTGCGACCGGCACGGCACTGGAGGGAAAAGCCCGATTACTATATGCCTGGGGCATTGCGGGCAGAGGGGGAGGTCTGGGGTTTCTCCTGCCAGTAACCAGACGGCCAGCGTGGCATGTGCTGCAGAGCTTAGTTTTATTTCACTGACAAGTCCGTCAAAAATTAAATACCAGGTTTTGCTTTTTTTCTTTCTTTTAACATTGAACAAATATGTACAAAATATGAACAGTGTGAGGTATAAAACTGCAAGACTTTTAAAGAAAACTAGTATGTACAGAAGCAGATATGTATACAATAGGCATTATCTTTCCACGGCTGTGTGCCTCACTTATCCCCCTGCAGCTGATGCCAGTTTCTTTCCTGCAGCAGGGCCCTATCACTCCCCGCATTTTCTTCTCAAATATGAAATCTGTAAAAAAACAGTGCTAGAGATTTTCAGGGAGAAAAATACGGGGGGGGGGGGTGGGGGTGGGTCCTGCAAATGGAACCATCCAGATTGCAGGGCAAAAGTCCTCCAAAACCTGAGAAGGCACACTTCATCTTACACAAGAGCAAAAATGAATCTGTCCAAAGACTCTACCTGATGAACAGAGGGATGTCTCGGTGGAGAGCACCATGGCAGGTAAAAGGGTGTGAGCATAAGGCACTTGTTGGGATAGTCAAATCCCTCCCTATTTCACTGAACATGTTTCTCTGCTTGCAAAGGGTGTTTAAATTAATCTATTTAAACTACACTTGTTTATACATACAAAGGGCTTAGTCCTGCAATCCATACTCACTTCCACACTAGTTAGAGAGAAGTTTTGCCTGATCACCAACAGCAGTTGATTCAGGCCCCCCAAGAGTAAGGATAGGGTGCAGTATCATATTCCAGTTAGAACATCGATTAATGTACAAATATATCTTACAAATAATTAAATACAAGCCATGTTCCTTTAACCAAATTAAAGATCTGCCAAAAATAGACTGTTTGTGAAAAATACATCTTTTTTTTTCTCTGCTTATTATAAAACGAGTCTATTTGGTATTGGCTTTTTTTTTTCTTTCAGTGGAACGGTGAACATTTTCTGCTGTAGCACAATATTCTTCCAAACAAGCCCCTGGTAAAGTGCAAGCCAAATTAGGGTCCACTCTCCACATGGGGCCATTAGTGGGTAGGGTTGTAATAGCCTTTGTCACCTTCAATGTCCACTTCTTGATCGGAGTCGTCTGAGACGTCTGACTCCAGGTCCTCCTGTGAGGCTGGCGAGGGGGTGTACTGCGAGCCGTCCAGGGAGACCTCCTTCACCTTCTGCTCGGGGGTCGGGCAGCTCTCTGGCCTTTGGTCACTGTGACTGTCAGCACCTTCCACTTCTTCTTTTTTGGTGGTCTGGGGGTTCTCCTGCAATGAAAGAAGCCTGCTTTATATAGAAATATGGGCTATGGAGCCAGAAGGCCTGGGAATTCCAGCTGTGCTGGGTGGGAAAACCGCCTTGGGTTTCCTGCAGGAAAAGGCAGGTGTCCCGCTACCTCCCTGGGCGTCCTCCTATAAACCTGTCTGAGTGGGCCGGGGCCGGGCGAGGGCTCAGTTGCATGCAAGGGCTTGGTCGGCTCCGATCCCACTCCCCAGCAGCCACAGGGGCCGCTGCCCTGAATAAGGCTCCTTGGCGATGGTTATCGCAGCCACTTCAAAAGAGTCAGGAGCTGCCGGAGCCCAGGAACCTCTGAACTTTTGTCTTGAGCAAAGCAAATGTTTATTATGAGTCTACAAACACCGACACACAGCTTCCTCCTGCCCTGATCTTTCTTTAATTACACCCAACAGCAAAAGGAGGGAGGCTGAATCCATCAGTGGTCCAAAAGCAAACGGGAAAAAATTACTAATTAAGCTAAAACTCAACCTTAAAACACTCGCTATTAAAAACCAAGCAAAACAAAACAAAACACCGTTTCTGAAGACAGGAGTAGCCCTGTGTCAGCAGCCATCTGGGGAGCACAGTCCCCTAAGGGGGCATGAAATGATACTCTTAAGAGAAAGCAGGCAGAGACATGTACCTATGATATAACCATACGGGCTCGGAGAAATGGATGCGACTGAATGAAAAGGAGGAAATGACTTAAAATGGCCGAGATCCCAGGCGAGCTCTCCGGACACTGCGGCGCTGGTTGGGCCCTGCTGAGGAGGTACCACCGGGGACCCAGCCTGCCTCTTGCCGGAGTAAAGGGTTTTTATTAAAAAATCACCTGAAGTACAGGTTAAACCCAGGGAAAGGTCACAGAACAAATACATCTAGAGTGTGGCACCGTGATTAGTTTCCTTTTCTTATAATTTTTATATTAAAGGCTGATTTACCAGTAAAACTTGGCCATCCCTGTCACACTTACTGAAGGCGGGCTTGAGCCACAAATCTTTGAGCCAAGGGACCGCGATCTGGCTGAGCCGGGCAGGATCGGGCCCTCTGGGCCGTAAAAAAAAAAGAAAAAAAAAGAAAAAAAAAAAAATTTATCTCTTGAGCACAATTGCTAGGGGAAGAGAAACCGCTTCAACCTCTCAGCCTCAAACACTGTAACTATTTGTAAACGAAAAGTAAAAGCTACTCAATTTTCCGTGCGGCTCCTCAAAACAAACGAGGCGTTTGTACTTGCCTCTCCCCACGTCTGCAGGACAAATCGACTTGTGTTTATTAAGAGAGAGCGGTTTAAAAGACCAGTAAATATTCTTCTCCAAAACAACTGCCTAAGTAATTTACTGACAATTACTTATCTTCTCCATGTTAATTGGCTAAACAACATATGGGTTTACAAAACAATTAGCGTGGAGTTTTAATAGGCGGTGTGTGAAAGCCAGGCATAATTGATATAGGAACTACATTAGGAGCTTTTAACGTTAGTGCTGCCTGAACGAGCCCTCATGGATTCCAGCATGACTATTTGTCTTTTTAATCAAGGTGAAGAGGTTAAACAGCCTTTCAGATGACTTCTGCATACAACCTGGAATAGGCGAGCACAGCGTAAGATAAGACAATTAAAATACTTATTTCTATAGAAACGGACACATCCCCGTACCTGCTTTAGACGCCTCCATTTGGCTCTGCGATTCTGAAACCACGTTTTGACCTGAGCAACGACAATGAGAGAAGCATGGGGTTGGCTCGGAGCCGGTAAGCGCCCAGAGCCCTTCCCG